AGCTCTAAAATTAAATCCTTTTCACAGACACTTTACTTTAATTTCCGATTCAATGCGTTTACGAATTACAAAATTATTCAATTTAATTTGAACACCGGCCCGACGTCACTGAAACACATTCAACAATGTATGTATGTAGATTGCACAAATACAAACATGTACATGCCTCTGATATGGCACTTAGAGTGTCGATATGCTACAGCTAACGCAACGGTAAGTTATTCCAATGATGCACTTCGTTTCATACTTCCATTCCCATGCCCCCGCTCACTAAGACTCTCACTTGCACTCTTACTTAGGCACTCTCATACATTGGATTCTTACTCTCACTCTCACACCAACTGTCTCTCCTTGCCTTTCTGCGCCAGAACGCTCACCTCTCGTCTCTCTTATTCATCGCTTATCTTTATTTGGCGTGGATGTTGCGCTGTCGTGGGTGCGCTTAAATTTGCGATCGATCGAATGGCAACTCAAGCAGGGCGTAAATTATCTTAGCTGCACCCATTCTAATCATATGTATATTACATTCTTAATCTCACTCTCTGTTCTTTCAAAGGTCACCGCGCACGCCGGTCTCTGTGCTTTGCTTTCTTTTCTCTCTACTCTGCTCACCAATAAGAACCGCAAGTATATCACAATTTCTATAAACGACCGATCGGCGGTGCACTCAAAGAGCGCACGAAGTCTGCGCCTTTGTGTGAATATACTCGACTCTCTGGCGGCATTTGCAAGCCATCGAAAATCAGACAGTGCGACTGTGGACGTCGGTTTCAACGGTTGGTTCGCTAACAGCGCGAAAAAGTTGTTTTTGTGATCTTCGCAAATGTGAAGTAGCATTTGTTTACATCAGCGAGGAGTGGTCCTGTTCCCAGGCAACCAATAATTTACAGTTTTCATAATCGATTTGAATTTGCCTATTGTAAGTAGTCTTTTCAAAAAACTTTGGTATGGGGTATACACATACTTTTTGAGTGTATATTAGAAAATAAACAAACCTTCGTTGAATGGTTACCTGCTTTCAAAGTAATTGCTTGTATGTTAGGTAACGGTTCTGAGTTTTCCATGTCATGGCAATTGTGAAGCGTGAAAATTGGTTTTTATGTGATTATTTTCAATTATTTTAATGATTACTGAATAATATATAATATGTTATTGAATTGTACAAAATAAGTTTATATCATGCTAAAAAACATTTCAAATGACTACTAATTTATTGTGACCAAAAAATATAAAAGTGGCTAATTGTTAAAGTAAATGTTTTTTAATATATATACGAAATGTTAAAAGGAATCAATCGGGCTATATTATATATTTAATATCATATTAATGTTAATCGGGAATTTAAGGAATAAATTTGATGTTTATAAAAGCACCTCGGCAAGGTATTTTAAGAAAACAACAGCAGGAGGTTTTAATTTATGTGTTATTGACATCTAAGGAAAATGACAACGTAATTTTTAAGTGAAAGCAGTATACGCTACAAGACTGAATACATTTTAAATCATTGTTAAATAATCAAATTAGCTGGGCTAAAAATGTTTACAAAGCAAAAACTTGTTTATTAAACTGTAACGCTCAGTTTTTGTGTGGCTTGCTCGGAAATAAATGTTGAAGAGGCAATACAGCTAACTTGTTTTATGAAAGATAAAACTATTAACTTTACTCAATAGATGATTGTAGGAAACTACAGATACATATATACTTATAATATATTCGTATATATATCTTCCAATTAGCAGTTGACAAAAAGATAAAATCATACTTTGTTCAACGACAATAATCATTTGGAATCAGCAAACATAATATTTGATTAAGTTGTTTATAAAGATTGCAAATAAATGAAATATGTATTAAGCTTGAACTATCTCAAAACAAGATAAGTTCACTTCAGAATAAAGTTTTTAAAACCACACATATGTAATTTATATGATAGTTGAAGTCCCTTCAAGGAATGAATATTAATATCAAGTAAAAATTGGTTTACTTTTACGACGGACAAATATATAATTGTATTAAAAAATAATTGTTAAATGAATGACTACAAGAATAAATGACTCTTGAATAACTAAATTATTTATAATTCTATCTTTTTAACGCCATTACGTTGAGAACCTAATAATTATTATACACAACATTTTTTGATCTTGTGAAATTTATGATTCATATATTGCATATTAACCTAGGGAAAATACGTATGTCAGAGTATTAAAACAGCTTTGATAATCTATAGATAAATAGTTGAAAACTTAATCAGAGAATTTAGCCTGTTATATATTTATAAATGTTTATACTCTATCAAAGTAAATTGGGCTTATAAGAAACAAGCACTTAGTTAACAAATCCAATGAAATACTTATTAAAATTTTTTTTTTTTTTAATGGAATATAGAGATAAAATGATTATTCTATGGAAATATTTGGCATTTCTCTGGTTACATGCCAATTGGATAACGGCAAATCCTATAAAAGTGAAGCCTGTGGTAGCCACTGAGTTCTTAATACTCCACAATAATGATATGCACGCGAGGTTCGAGCAGACGAATGTCAACAGCGAAAGCTGTTCGCCGGAGGATGCCAAAAGCAATAAATGTTTCGGCGGCTTTGCGCGTATAGCCCATGAGTAAATTGTATTAAAAATATGTTATTACTTGGCTGATGAATATTATTTTATTACAGAGTGCGCAAATATCGTGCTGAAGCTAAAAATGACGGAATTCCGGCATTTTATTTAAATGCCGGTGATACTTATACCGGAACAGCATGGTTTGCAGTCTTTAAAAATAAAATTGCCAGTGATTTTCTCAACAGACTGCAACCAGATGCAATAGTAAAAAACACATAATTAAACTGCACTTAAATGATTTATTTATTTAGTATAATTTTATTGCAGTCTTTGGGCAATCATGAGTTCGATGAAAAAGTAGAGGGTCTAATACCATTTCTGAATGACGTAAATTTTCCAGTTTTGGCCTGCAATCTGAACCTTACCAAGGTACCCGAAATAGCTGCCTCCAAAAATTTTGCCAATTCAACTATACTCGATGCAAATGGCACAAAAATTGCTGTGATTGGATATTTAACACCTGATACGAAAATGCTTTCAATAAAAAACGATGTGGAGTTTAATGAGGAGATTGATTCTATCAAGTAAGTATTCTAAACTAATGTTATGATAATATCGTTAGATACTGTAACTCGAAAATTTAAAAATAACTCTTAGTACTTTTTACTCATGCACATATATCAAAGTTATACATAAGTTGTACAATTTCAGCGCAGAGGCAGCTAAGCTTAAGGCACAGGGTCACACAATTATTATTGCTTTAGGACACTCTGGCTATAAAAAGGATCAGGATATAGCTAAAAACTGTCCCGAAGTCGATATCGTCATTGGCGGACATTCGAACACATTCTTGTTTAATGGAACAAAACCAAATGTGGAAAGTATCGACGGTCCATATCCGACTATAATAACACAGAAGAGCGGAAAACGAGTTCCTGTCGTACAGGCCTACGCCTATACAAAGTATTTGGGGAAATTACATGTGAAGGTAAGTGGAATCTAAAACAGATCTATGAAATATACATTGAGATTTTTTAACAGTTCGATAAAGATGGAAATCTAATTGAATTCGATGGTTCGCCGATATTACTTGATGCTCGTATAGCGCAAGAGAAGGAGGTACTAGATCTGTTAGAGATGTACAGAGAGAATATTACTGCCCTGAAGAAGTCTGTGATCGGCCATACGAAAGTGTATTTGGAGGGGCGTATGAAATATTGTCGATGTGTAGAGTGTAACTTGGGAAATCTAATTACGGATGTAATGATATTCAGTCGTGTGCTAGAAGATCAAGGAGGTGATTACTGGACAGATGCAGCTATTGCTTTATATCAAAGCGGGGGTAAGTACGTGCCGTAAACTCAGAACAACTTTGATGTATGAAAGCTCTTATTTAAGGTATACGTAGTTCAATCGAACGAAAATCCGATGGCATTATTACACAGAATGATCTGCTTACCGTACTGCCCTTTGAAAACGATCTTTATATCACACGAATTACTGGCAAAGCTTTGAGGATCGCTTTGGAACGTTCCGCTGCATATAGGTTCAGCGATTCAGATGGAGCATTTCTTCAAGTATCCGGCATTCATGTGGTCTACAATCCAGATATGCCAGAAGGTAATCGAGTTGTATCTGTGAAAGTGCGCTGCGCCGACTGTTTAGTGCCATCGTATAGCTATCTGAACGAGAGCGCCTACTATAAAGTGATTGTGCCAAAGTTTCTGCTCGATGGTGGCGACGGATACATTATGATTGATCGAGCTAATCCTGTGTCTATACGTATGCAAAAAACTGTTCGTGAAGCAGTTCGTCAATATCTGCATGAACATAAATACATTTATCCCGATGTCGAAGGTCGCATCCAATTCATAGGCTCCGGCAAAAGTAAATCGTCGGGATCTGAGTCCATAAAAAACACTTTGAGTTCCTTAGCATTGATGCTATTTACACTTGTAATAAATCGTATTTTTAATTAATTCTAAAATGTATATATAAACATAGTATTTATTGGAATATCAAGTCATTTCAAATATGTGCACAATTTAATACTCTGACTCATTGCAACCATTGAAAGCAACGTGTTGTATGTATACTATACTATTATTAAATTTTTAAGAAGTTACACAAACTTATAACTAAAACTAATTTGTATGAATGCATGTAATGCTTGAAGAAAAATTATATGTAGAAAGGCCAAATATTAAGTATAAATTAATTTTTGGTGCAGAATGTATGAATATATCTGTTTTAATTGGATATTTACCTGGAATATAGCCTTGAGTCGATTAAGCGAACGAACCTCAAGCGGGTCGAATGTGACTTATCGGCATCTTGAAATATTTACGTGCAAGCGCTAAATATATTGGATACGCGTCTGACGGCCTCGAGATAAGAATGAAGTTCTGAACGTTGTACAAGCTTTTCAAAGCAGCTTCAGTTTCAAATGGTACTCATCGCTATCGGACAATACTCAGAACTGTCATTTAACAGATTTATTGACATATCTGCCCAACGATAGCTGCGACAATGGCACTTTGAACGCTGGACCCTTAACTGTTCTGAATTTGTTATGTTCCGTCTTGTTGCAGTAGATGACTGAAAACATTTCGTTAAACAGAACCAGGGATGCATTGCAAGCTGAATAAACTTAAAACACAAGTTCATTCTAAATCTCTGTCTGTCTACAAAGAATCGATATATATTGTATAATTTGATAAACAAAGTGACACTTGTGTAATCTGTCAACATGCTTACATTCAACAACAAGAATAATAGCACCTTTACTAGATTTTTCCATGGATTGCTTAATAGTTCTGCGTTTTATAATCATTTTAACAATCTTGTTCGCGCATGTTCAGTGTTTTAGCTTCAGAATCTTACATAATAATGATATGCACGCCCGATATGATCCAGTTACCAACAGCTGTCAGCGGTGTCCCGCAGGTGACGATGAGAGGGGCTTGTGTTTTGGAGGATTTGGTAGGGTAGCTACAGTGTAAGATAATTTATTTGGTCAAGCTCAAAAAAAATGCAAACTAACTAATAATCAAATTTATCTCAGGGTGAAAAGGGCTCGAGCCAACGGTCCAATGCTATATCTTAATGCTGGCGATACTTTTTATGGAACAAATTGGTATACAGCGCATAAGGGGGAATTGGCAGCTGATCTTTTGAATATAATACATCCTGATGCCGTGGTAAGATCTACATAAATATAAAGCCTATATATTTGTCTTTATTTTGTAATAACTGATTCAATGATTCTCTACTCTACTCTATAGTCGCTTGGGAATCACGAACTCGATGACGACCTGGCCGGATTTACACCTTTCCTTAGGAAAGTTAACTTTCCCATTGTTTGCTGTAATTTGGATCTGCGTAAGACTCCTGACCTACATAATTTTAGAACTTTAGTTCGTGCAACAGTTATCAGGAAATTCAAACAGAATATTGGTATAATTGGTTATATAACGCCAAATACGAAGTATTACGTACCCTATAATTCCATCAGCTACTCTCCAGAAATATCCACTATAAAGTATGAAAACCACATAACTTTAATTATCACTTATTTATTTATTGTATTGACTATTTAACTTGACAGCATCGAGGCAAAGCGCCTACTTAATCAAGGAGTTAATATAATAATTGCTCTTGGACACTCTGGGTTTGAAATGGATAAGATGATCGCTGAACATTGTCCCGATGTAGATGTTGTGATCGGTGGCCATTCACATACTTTCCTATACACGGGCAGCCCACCAGACATAGAGAAACCAGATGGCAACTATCCCACAATTGTTACCAAGTCAAATGGTCGAAAAGTTCCAGTTCTTCAAGCTTATGCGTTCACTAAATATATGGGTATAATCGATTTAGAGGTAAGACATTTTTGTCAAAGTTACAGCTGTATTTATTTTTAAGCCAATCGAAAGTGTTCTATTTGAGAATCCTCTAGTACTAGCAAGAAGTCGTTTGGGTATATCACATACTCATAAGGAAAATTCTACAGATTCATTCGATCTTTTGTCATATGATTTGCTTTCTTTGATTTATCTTTCTGGTATTTAGAATCTAACATATTTGTATGCATTAAATATCCACATTTACAGTTCGACGATTATGGGCATCTGGCTAATTTCAGTGGTAAGCCCATTTTATTGGATAAGTCGATTCCGCATCACCCCGATATTACGAAAATATTGAATGCCAAGAGACAGCAAGTTGATTTTCTGGATGCAAAAGATATCAAAGACAATAAATCGCGAATTAAAATGTTTTATTCCGAAGAGTTCATATCAAACACTCCTGATTATATAAGTACCATTGTAAACATTGCAGTTTTCATGTTCCTATTAATTATTTTCGTATGCAACGATCGGCATGTCTTACACTAGTTTGTATTGTTATTATATATTTTAAAACTATTTGGATGAAGGTCCTAATAAAATGATAAGTTGGATTCGTATAATAATCTGGGTTCCGTTTGAGTTTTAATATGTCGAATTAAAAGGCATTCTATCCTAGCATCGATCTGAACTGCTATCATAATAAGGATTTTCCAAATAATTTCTATATATTGTACTATAATGTAAAACTCTAAATAAATTTGAGTTTCGTAGCGTTAACGACCAGACATTTATATACAGTTTTTATTATTATTACAAATTTTGTTTAATATACAAAAATTCTTAACATTTTGGTGCAGGCCATAAAAACTGAAGAGGAAAAACGCGATTCTGAAGTTCCGCACTCAATTATCCCTGTTACTGTTATTGTTGTTTTTGTGGTTGTTATTGTTGTAGCTGCTCAAAGATGTACGTGAGGAATGTTTACCTTTTTGTGTGTCTGAGATTGCCGTTTCAGCAAGAAAAGAGAAACTTTTTTCTTTTTTTCTTTTTTTATACGTTCGTTGGACCCAGCAAAACTTTTCAAGGTTATTCGTCGAACCAAGAGTCTGCACACAAACACATACACAGAAACACATAGCATATATACACATATAGATGCGCATATATGCATTGGTATATGGGCAGGTGTAAAACTGCCTTTCGCATCAGCCAGTTCAAACGAATTCGACTCATTGTTTGAGCAGCAGTTGAAGTTGGCTTTACTGGCTAAACTGCAGACGGTGTTCCTTTGGCAGACATCTTCGCCCATTGCTTAATGTCTTCTGTCTACAATTAACTGACTTCACTGACCAACAAACAGTCCTACATTGGTTCAGGTTCAGCCTCAGCTTCATTTTCTGTTTTAGCGCTTTTCATCCTCTTTAAATTAAGAAAAATGATTTGCACTTTTCTGCAGAGACCCTCTGATTCATCGCCTAACATCAGTCAAGTAATTTACGATTATTGGCTGTATGAGCTATTAAATTCTTTGGAGTTCCTCAGGGAGCTATTTTAAAGGCTTCGTTTTTACATTTACCAAATTCGTTTTATTAATCAAGAGTTTTTATTTTTTTTTTGTCATACAATTAAAGCATATATTATTATATAGTAATATAGTAAGTAGTATATAAGAAGTGTGTCAGACTCTCAGCTCGGATTGGACAAATTGTATTTAATTAATATCTATGGAGAGAGAGTATGTGTTAGCTGTGGTGGGTCCGCAGAGAGAAGCGTCATTAGGCATCTTTTGGGCATCGTTAATGAACATTCCTCAGTGGAACCCACGACAGTGCCCCACAAAACTGGAGCCTACACTTCGCACTTATGCCTTAGGTTTTCTAGAAGTTGTGTGATTCGGGCAGCACCTTGAACTTGCGTGAATCCTCGTTGCCAACCACGGCGGATGTTTTGCCCAGCACGCGCATTGCATTGGAGTAGTCGGAGTCGATTTGTGGTATGATCTGCTGCTCGTTGGGACGCAGCGTGCGAATGAGATCGCTGAGTGAGAGCGATGATTGTGGTGTAATCTCATCCTTGCTGACGACTGCAGCAGCCGCGCGTTGCAGCTCCTGGGAGCTGGTCATCTTCTCGAAATCCTGTGCTATCTGCTTGAGACGCACCTCGATGGCCGGCGACTCTGTGGAACTGGGCATTTTAGCTGCTGGTGCATCGCTGACCCTGGCCGACGACTCGAAGTGCGAGTCCGCCTCAGGCTCAGATTCCGACTCAGCGTCAGCTTCCGACTCATGATCTGCACTGGCATTCTCGTCCGCCTCTGATGCTTCCTCCTCATGCTCTGGCTGCTCCTCGTTAGCCTGAGCTTGCAGCTGCAGCTGTAGCTCCTCAATCGAATGCATTTCGTTGTGCAGCTCGTTGTCGTTTAGTGGAAAAACGTGCTCCTTAACATCGCCGTCGGCATCGCCCAGCTCGCGTGCGTGCTCGTTGGAGGCATCGCCAGCCTCATGCTCATGCTCGTCGAAATCAGTCTCGCCATCAGCATCATCGTGCTCCTCCACATCAGCCTCCAGGTCGCCATCCACGTCGGCGGCATCCGCATCAGCCAGCGAGCGATCGTGATTCAGCTTGAACCACACAGTCGACGGCTGATGAGCTGAATCGGACATCGACATCGACGACTTGGGCTTGGCAAACAGACCGCCGCCGCTGCCGCTGCCGGCGCTGGTGGACATGATGAGGGGCAGTGGCGTGGTCGATGGTAGATTCAGCAGATCGGCAGGTGTGCGAGGTGTGGTAGAAGTTATGGGGCGTCTGCAGCAGGCGGAACAAAATAGACCAAGATTATATATATTTATATAACCATATGTATTTATATATTAGAAATGTATATGTGTATATGTACATCTATACACATACATCAGTGTGTTACATAGTAGGTCGATTGACTTGCAGCGAGCTTGGCATTTGGGTTAGTGCGAAAGTGCGAGTCTGAAGCTAAAGTTAGTTAGTTGAGCACAAATCTTAGTGACAACAGCAACAACGACAACAACAACAACATTCTATAGGAAAAGCTAAGCCCCAAACCACCAAATTTCAATAGGAGTCTCGAAAATGACGCTCAAATGGCTTCAATTTGTGCAAACCTCTTGAAAAATTATGAAATTTTATGTTTTCAATTTAGATTTTAAATCACAATTTTCTTCTTCTTTCAGCCTATTCATTCATTTTTTCTTTAGTTTGTCTTTTGTATTTATTCATTTCGTATTTTTTTAATTTCCAAAGATTCTTTATTTAAAATGTTTTTTTTAGCTGGTAAGATTCCCTGATTTTGTATACTTCTTACTTTTATGTTTTAGAAGGTTTTATAATATTTATTTATTTATTTTTAATTTTTCATGTCTTGCTTGTTGATGATATCAAATAATTAATAAAAAAAAAATAAATAAATAAAAAATTATTCATAATTTTCCTCGTTGCTTGCACAAATTGATTTACTTTTTGTTTAGATTTCTCAAATTTCGGGTTTAAAATATTTTTTTAAACCTCGATTTGTTGTATATATATATATGTATATGTATTAAAATTTGTAGTGTTCTTTAAGTTAGTAATAAATAGGCTGGTAGCTGCGCATTAGTCTTCTGTATTAGGTATATAACATAGATACAGATACGCAGAGCCAAAACTAGATTCAGGATCTGCATATCTGTATGGCATATGTGTGTAATAGTTGTAAAGTTTAACGATTTGGGGTTTAGCTCACCTATTTGATTAAGTATTGTATTACTTTTTGAATTGAACGCTTGGCAACGTTCCATTGTGAGTCTCTGTTTCTGTTTTCTTGTTTGATATCTTTTGTTTCGTTTTGTGGTCAACTAAATTAACTTGTTTTATTAATCACGTATCATTGCGTTATGTGTTATATAAATATTTATTTTGGGCTGGGTTGGCTTGGCTGTTTATATACTTAATTAAGGATATATGCTTAAAGTGCAACTTAAGCATTCGTATAGCTCGATTTATTTTACTTAGAGGAGGGAATAGTAGACGTAGTTATTAAGTTATATTTTCCTTTATGATTTATAATTTAGATATTTGCTTTTTGTTTTTGCTTGTTTATATCGTTGCTCTTTCTCTCACTCTCTCTCTCTCTCTCTCTTTCTCTCTGTCTAGTAGTCCTTACCCCTGCGCAGACGATACTGGAATGCTGCCATAGTTGTAATAATAGCAGCGAGTCTGTTCGCAAATGAAGTCCTTAACGGCAGAGCAGTCCTCGGGCATCCATTTCAACGTCGGCTGCTTCAGTATGACGCAGCCCTTTTCGGCACCACTGCTGCTATATAGACAAAAACAATTTTAGGTAGCCTCAAGTTCAATGTGTGCTGCCCCCTCAATATGTGGTCATCCCGAGAATTGAATCATGTCTTACCTGTCGCGTGCCGTGCGCTGTGGCGAGGTGTTGCTATTGTGATCGACGGGATCGAGCAGACCCGCTTGGATGGCATCGGCCGAATTCTCGAAGAAATCGAATGTTGCATTGAACGGTAGTCCGGTGCTCATCCATAGGAACATGCCCGTGCCCAAACGATTTCCGGAGGTCCAGAAATCGTAATTGCCATAGCCGGCATTCTTCAGATATGTGGTCATCGACTCGGCCTTCTCCTTGGTCTCAAAAGAGGCCAATTGCAGACCCAGTGATCGGCAGTATTGGTAGGCCAAGAAATAGTTTAGCTCCGGTGAATACGGATTCATACGACTTATAAAATACTGCACACCATCCAAATGTATAGTCGTAATGCGTTGACCTAATCCAAAGAAAAAAAATCCATAGAAATCAAATCAAATTCCATGAAAGAAAAAAATTTTCGGTCAATGAACCTATGAGACAATCCGCTCTGAATACTGAGCAATCGCAATGCGTAACCGTAACGGCAATGGGAATCGAAATCGTAATCGTATCCAAAGTAAATATCATTAAATAGGATTACCAAAACGAGCAATCCGAATGACAAACACACGGTTCTATAAAAAGCAGAAGACCAAGTTGGACTCGGACTTGGACAAAGGGAAAACAGAGTTAGACTCAAGTGCTTGATGATTCATGGCAATGATAATAATGATGATGAACAGAAGCATTTATCGGTCTATGACCCGCAGCAAATACACAGGTACAGATGCACAACTACAGATACAGATTCAGATACTTAAGCTAATTACAAAAAATCTGATGAAAAATAATGGCGATGATGACATTAATTAGCTCAATGCTAAGAAAAATGTTGTTTAGAAGGTATCCAGAATAATAATAAAGTATCTTTCAGATTTTGGGATGCCTATTTACCTCCTTCTTCTTATTCTTCTCTTTCTTATATAATCGTCTGGGACTCTCAAAGATGACAATGAGTTGACTTTGCTTGGACATGAGCTAACAGGTAGCTGGCTTGAATGGTCGAATACCTCATGACCATGCTAAACAACAACAACAACAAGAACAACAATCTGGGTGTGTGTGCAGTTGTATTGGTTGTACAAACAACTTTAGCTATATTTTCATTTTCAATGCTGATTCGTTGGCTCTAGCCAAACGGAAGAGCCTATTTATGGAATTGGTCATGGATAGGCAACAGAG